AGAGAGAGAGAGAGAGAGAGAGAGAGAGAGAGAGAGAGAGAGAGTTGTGCGTTGCGATCTTGAACAGCAGTTGTCAATGTCTTACTATGGACCAAGATATTTCTTTGAGGCCGGACGTTTTTTTTTTCCGCATCATTCCAACACACCCGCAAGATGAGGTTAGTCTCGGTGTCATCGCACAGCAGTACCAGCCCATGGCGATGGGATGGCATGGAGTGCCGTCGCGGTTGAGCAGCTTGCCTGCATCGATCTTGTTAGTTCGTGTAGAGTCTGTAAGTCACCCCGCCAGGTATGATGTGTTGGACATGTTTTTGCCGGGTTCCTCCGCAACTTCTCTCTCATTAGATATTGCAAATCCAGCTTTCACTGCAATGACCGGAACACATCCCCCTCGCTGCTGTGTGGTTTGATCTTGAACGGATGGATTTTCTTTGATTATATGCATATTTCCTAAAACCCAGCTTACGCAGCACAGCGTATCATTTGTACGTACGATTGCACATGCAGGATTCCTTGCGTCCTCCATGTATCAGTGATGACTTAGTCCCACCATGGGTCATTCATCATTGATAGGAGTGTGGGAGCTACCGTTGTTTGTCAACAGTAAGTGACGATGGAGGCGGGGCCGCTGTGGTCTAGATACAGAAAAAATCGCTCACGAGCGTTGACGACAAAAAATGGCGTAAGATGGATTGACCTCAGTCGCCGCGTTGACTCAAAGGACCGCAAGCGTGCTGTGTAACTACTTTGGCTGGCTCCCTGCCCCCGATCCCCTGCTTCTTCGTAGTTTCAGCTCTCTCTTGGGGGCGCCCTCCACACCTCCAACGACGACAACGGCCTGCCGGAACACAGCCTTCGCGCCCCCGCTCCACGGGGCAAAGTGTCAGAGCGTACGGGCGGAAGCGGGGTCGGGGCAGGGCCGGAATATGTCGCCTCTGTTGGGCGACCGGGCGGCAACGTTGACGCTAGCGGTACCAGGAGACCTGGTACTGTTGGTGGTGCTGTTGGTGGTGGCGGTGGCGATCGTAGCGGGGGGGGTGCGGGCAAAGAGACCGTGGTCGGGAGCGGGGGCTGGAAATGGACGAACAAGACCACGGGTCCGGTACGCCCCCTGTCCCCGCCAACGCTGCCAACGCCACCTACGCCATTGCCACTAACAAACCCGCTGGGGCGAGACGCTCCGTTGCAGGTGGCAGTCATGCGGTCAGTGAACGACGCTGGCGTCGGAAGCAGCGGCACGGGAATGAACAGCTGGCGGTGGCCTTCTAATGTGGGCGCTGGCAGCAACGGGAGCATCGGTGGCGTTTCGGAGGCGGACTCGGTCGTCGGCCACTTCCCTTGCTCGTTGACGGAAGCGGACGACGCCCCCGGCCCGGGGCACCGCGGTGGCGGTGGCGGCGGCGGCGGCAACGACGCCGCCGCTCGCAAGCAGAGGCTGAAACCGTGGTCCGCCAGCGGGCCATGCGTGGTGTCCTGCTCTCCGCCCTCCTCCTCCTCCTCCTCCTCGGCCGCTTCGGGCGCGAGACAACTGGAGGAAGCCCGGGGGGCGGAAGACCGGATCGGGGGAGGGGGGGTGGCCGTGACACCGATAGGCGGTGCCCCGTTGGGCGGCGGCGGCGGCGGTGGCAGCGGCGGCGGAGGCCTGGAGCGCTGCGAGCGAGCCGCTCGCGCGTGCAACCTCTATCAGGAATGCACGCACGTGCTGCTCCCTCCGGGAGGCGGCGGTGGAGACGGCCATTCGAGCGGCAGCGGTAAGGAGGCGGAAGCAGGGGGGGGGGCAGGTTCGCCTTCGCGATAAATTCAGTTTGTGGAGAAACAAAACCGGGAGGGGGTAACGCAGACCCTACCCCTAAACCCCAACCCAACTTCCCTCATTGTATGCTGTTCCCAACATGTTTACTTGAAACGAACAACAAAATGCGAATGCTGCTGGGCTCCGGGGGACGGGGCGATAGGCAAACGTAGCGGGAAGAGAAGGAACGACGGCGGGTTCGCGGTCCTCATGCATCGGGCGGCAAGGGACGGATCGATGGCAGGCGTCGAGGCGGCGGCGGCAGCGGCGGTGGCGGCACACGCAGAGGGGAGTGGGAGTGGGTGGGGCGGTCCCAGAGGCGGGTTTACGCTTGACGCGAAGCCAAGGACGTACTACGTTGTGTCGTTCGGGGGTAGCGGGAGCAAGATGCTCGGGGGTTGGCTGAGCGAGCGGGGCAAGGAGATGGTGAAGGAGGTGAGACGGCGGTTCAGGAGAATCGCGTGACAAAAGGGGCAGGAGCTGAGCGGGGGCTGCGTGTCATGTAGACGTACGTGGAAGCGCCGTGCTGGAGGAGCTGCTTGTGGCACGCACGCTGTACACTCGGGGATGGATGGGGTCGTTTGGTGTGTTGATGTCGGCCAGCGTCGGCTATTGCACCAGAAATTGCGCTCGAAAAGTTGGTAGGGCGAGAGCGCGGTGTGAGTATGCCTGGCGGGGTCGACAGCTGTGTAGCGTGCACCGCAGCGCCACGTTGAGACCAGCTTTGCTGGCGGTTCAGGTAGAATGAGACGTGCCCTTTTTTGGATTGATCGATGGACACAACTGGCGAGCGTAGATGTACTCCAACAACTCACGCGCCGTGTCCTGCATGTGGACGGACTGGTCGTTACCGCCACCAAGTGTAAGTCGACCCCCATCCCCCCTCGGCCCCGCCGCTCCCCCTGGTCACTAATGACGTGTCTGAGCAGCGCAACCGGTTGACGTCATATTCTGACAACTTTCGTGCCGTCACCTGCGACGTGATTGATGTAGGTCGGAGAGCATTGACGCGCTGTGTTTTTTTTGCCAGGGACGAGGGAGGGGCGGTGGGGTTTTCACTTCGGTAGAATGTTTGTGGTTGTCGTGGTGCTGCCCTCCATATTTTTGAAGCTCGTTTCTTTGGGTTGTCCAGTTCTTGCTCGCGGAACATCCCGCCATCCCACGGAATGAAGAATGGGAGCGAGTTGCTTCTTAAGGGCAGCCAGTGCCTCACATGGCCATCTAATCATGACGCCCAGCGGCCTGGCGAGTACTGCACGTCTGTGCTTGCATTTACCCGTGCCCGACGCGTCAAACACCTCACGGAACGTAAATCCTAAACCGTAAACCGTAAACCATTCCGAGCACACCCTGGGACACACGTACCGGGAACACACACAAGCCGATCGTTTTTATCAAGAAAATGCATACATTCAAAGAAATACTACCCGTTCGAGATAATACCACGACAGTGGTATATTCCGTTGTTGGGGGGTTCTGGCTCATCACGCTTCGTCCCGTGTAATGAGCGCACTGTACCGTACCGTGACCCGCACCAATTCCGAAAAAGGTGTTCCACATCCACGACCCAAGACCGGGCGACAAGCTCTTCGCGAAGGTGGCGCGGAGAGGCGTGAGCGCCGGCGGCGGGGGGGGCAGCGGCAAGGACTTTCGGGGCTACGACTTTCCCGAGGGCGACTTTCCCTCCGAGGGGACGGCGGTGCGTTGCCGTTGGATGTCGGCGTTGATGTGGATGTTGTTGATGTTGTTGTTGTTGTTGTTGTTGTTGTTGTTGTTGTTGTTGCTGTTGATGTTGGTGTTGTTGTTGTTGTTGTTGTTGTTGTTGTTGTTGTTGTTGTATGGCAGTCGCTATCTCGGTGGCACTCCTGGGAGCTACACTGCCATAGCTGCTGTGTGTAACCCCCGCCCCGCCCCCCACGGTCCCGATGCCGCTCCCCCCTCCCTGGGAACATTACCGCGTGCTTGGTGGTGAACGAAGTGACGTGCTTCGTCCATCCGAAAGTGTGTGATCATCCTACAACTTGTTTGTGTGCCTTTTCTTGTGTGTTGCTGCATGCCTCTTCGCCCCCCACGGCTATTCTCCCACGGTCTTGAATGTGCGGGATCATCCTCCCTACAACATGTGTGTTTGCGTGTTTGCCCCCATCCCTCTTCGCCACCGTCTGTTGTTCCAAGGACGTGCTTCGTCCACCCGAACAGCGTGTGATCAGCCGACGATGTCTGTGTTTGTGTTTCGTGTTTGTGTGTTGCCGCATGCCTTTTCGCCCCCTTTTTACGCGCGACTGTGCTTCGCCAACCCGGTAAGCGTGTGATCACCCTTCAACTTGTGCGTGATTTTTTGTGTGTTGCCCCCATCCCTCTTCGCTCCCGGCTGTTCTCACAGGGGGGTTGCCTCGTCCACCCGAAAAGCGTGTGCATCAACCTAAAACATCGGTGCTTGTGTGTGTATGGTGCCGCATCCCTTTTCGCCCCCGATTGTTGTTCCAAGATGGAGTCCACCCGAAAAGTGTGTGATCGCCCTACGACATCTCTGGGTGTGTATTTTGTGTATTTTCTGCATCCATCCCTCTTCGCCCCCGATTGTTGTTCCAAGATGGAGTCCACCCGAAAAGTGTGTGATCGCCCTACGACATCTCTGGGTGTGTATTTTGTGTATTTTCTGCATCCATCCCTCTTCGCCCCCGATTGTTGTTCCAAGATGGAGTCCACCCGAAAAGTGTGTGATCGCCCTACGACATCTCTGGGTGTGTATTTTGTGTATTTTCTGCATCCATCCCTCTTCGCCCTTGCCTCTCGCCACAAGGTGTACGATGTAGACAACTACCGCGTGGTGCTGATCTTTAAGGACCCCGCCGAAGCGCTTGTCAGCCGCTACTTCTACAACCACTGCAAGAACCTCAGGGGGGCACAGTGCGGGTCGACTCCGGCAGACTTCCCGAGTCTAGAGAGGTACGCTTGTTTTATGCCCTCGAATCCCTTCCTTGGGAAACACGGAGATTATGTCTAGCCGTCCCCCCCACTTGTTTTTTTTTGTCCTTTTTTCATATCCGCGAAGAAAAACCGCGATTTGAATATGGCCTCTCGTCCCCCAAAGAGAAACACCATGCTCCTCATCTCAACCAGTGCCAAGCAAAGGCACGATGTGAATTATTGTCGCCTCGACTGCTGTGGTGTATTGTAATACCCCCTCCCCCCCACTGGGTTTTCGTCGCTTGGCAACGACGTTGTAAAACAAGCCAATTCACTTCGTGAACTCGGCAACCAGGTTACCGTTTCTTTTCTTACCTCTGGTGTTTTTTTGGGCGGTAACCATTATGGTGGTCGAGTATATTATGTTGTGCCGGATCGAGAAACCCCACTCCGCGCAAGGGGGGTGATCGCACCACGTTGTGTTAAATTGGTCAAGCACCCTCGAGNCGCACCCTTCATGCGACTCGCCGAATATCTCACGGCGCTTCGCGCTTGGTGATGTGAGAGCCTGGTCCGGTGAGAACCCGGCGTGCTCCGTCCCGGCTTTGTAGGGATGCGAGGTCAATGGTCTACGACCACGGCATGCAGGACTATGAGTACACCCCCCACCCCGACCCCTTATAAATGGACATGTTACCATATCCTTAGGTCTACACATTATCATGTATTTTCTCGCCCTCTCCCCGACCCGCGCGCTCTCTCTCTCTCTTCACAGTATCATGGCACCCAACACTTTCCTTTCTCTAGTCCTCGTAAAGATTCTCCGTGTGAACTCCTAGCTTCCACGGAGTGTTCGAGGTACGGGTTCTGCCGCTCTCTCTAGTTTCGGGGGCGCCGTACTTCCGTGACACTTTTCCCGACAATTACAAAACAGTTCGATTGCTCTCTCAATAAAACTTGGTTTGCTTGTGTTCGCCTGGTGCTGCAACAGAGACTCCCCCCCCCCCCGTTTTTTTTACTCCCGTCGACCGTGCTCGCGTTGCAGCTACGCCGAGGAGAGCGGCGACCGTCTGCACATGGAGGCCTTCTACGACAACTACTGCAACCCCGCCAGCGTAGCCGCCGCCGGCACTGCCGCCGCCGGCGGTGCAACAAAAAAGGAGCGGCGCAACTATCCCGTGGTGTGCGTGAACTACCACAAGATGTGGGACAACAAGGAGGCACTGGTGAAAGCGCTGGGTCTTCCTGTGGGGGAGGCGTCGAAGGTATGCTGTCGGGAGGGGGGGTGTATTCATAGTTGTGCATGCCGTGTCGTTAAGACCATTGACCTCGCATCCCTACAAAGCCGGGACGGAGCACGCCGGGTTCTCACCGGACCAGGCTCTCACATCACCAAGCGCGAAGCGCCGTGAGATATTCGGCGAGTCGCATGAAGGGTGCGCTGCATCCTGCTAAGGGTTTTCGGCATCTTGTGCTTACTTCCTTGCGTACGGATGACAGCTGCGTATGACTTAATTTATTTTCTGGTGCTTTCACTTCCAGAGACAGTTGTAAGCACTGTGTAACTGCCTCGAGGGTGCTTGACCATTTTAACACAACGTGGTGCGATCATCCCCCTTGCGCGGAGTGAGGGTTCTCCACCCCGCACAACATGATCTACTCGACCACCATTATGGTTACCGCCAAAAAAAAAAACGGAGGTAAAAAAAAAAAACGGTAACCTGGTTGCCGAGTTCACGAAGTGAAGCGGCTTGTTTTACAACGTCGTTGCCAAGCGACGAAAACCCAATCCCGATGGCAAACATCGAGGGGCGCGGCTAGTTTTACAACGTCGTTGCCAAGCGACGAAAACCCAACCCCGATGGCAAACACCGGGGGGGGCGGAAACGAAAGGGGAGGCTGTTTTGGACGCGGCCCTTCTCTCGTGTGTATCGCGCTTCCAAGCAATGGATGCCGACAAGACCCACCCGACCAGTTACTCTGCGGTTATTTTGTTGTTTCTCATGGTTGAAACTGTGGCGTAAGCTTATTCTCTATCGTTCAGCATATTGATCGAGGCGGACAGCGGCCGAGAGAGAGAGAGCGGTCACCGTTGTTCCTCGCCGTCGCCTCCGTTGCTGTTCCTGCTACTGCTGCCTCTGCTGCTACCGCAACTCTGTTGCTGCCACACTTTTTTTCGGAGACCTTCGCCCCCCCCCCCCCCCCCCCCCCCCCCCCGGCATCCTTCCGGTAGCCTTGATTTAGTGAACACTTTGGATAACGCATGCAATTGGGGAAGTTGGGCCAGGGTTAGGGTTACGGTCTGCGTACCCCCTCACTGTTGTTCTACTTGCTCACAGTCTTAGTTCCTTTCTCGCGAGAAAGGCGGTCCTATCCATCAATCAACCCCCTTGCTCCTCTCTCTCTCCATCCCATTTTCTCTCTTTCATTTTCGACGAGCAGCTGCCGACGAGGACCGAGACTGTGCGAAACGACCGAACCAGCGCCGAGAGGGGAGAGCCGTTCACCCTCGCCGTCAGGGAGCGGTTACGCCGGAAGCACGCCTCATTGTCCAAGAAGGTCTTCGAGGCGCCCGCCGTAGCGATAGTCTAAGCAGAAGAAACCATGATCTTGTTGCATCTCTCAACGCAGCAGCGGCAGTTTGTGCCGCGAGCAGCTATGGGTGGAGTGATCGGACGGCGTGGTGTTGTATGGAGGTCGGAGGGCACCTTCGAAGAGGCGAGGCGGCGTGAAAACACAAATCCTTTGTCCTTTTCGCCGTCCCTATACATAGCTAATGTAGTTGGCGAGTATTTCGCTATCGTGCGTTGTAGGTCTGGCTTGGGGGGGTGCACGAGGGCAGAGGCGCTACTCAACACCGTTTGTATCCGTTTTGAGCGACGTCACTGAGCCCCCTACTTTTTCGGAAGAGACAAGTAATAATATGCAGTGGTTTATATCTTCGAGGTGTTTTATATTGGGTTCGTGTGGATCGTTTGTTGTTTCGGTTGTTGGAGAGAGGCCGGATTTGCTGTTCTTTCTGCCGGTCGTTAGACTAGTGCTCTGTCCTGCGTGGTAGGGGCGTCATTTGTTGGGGCTGCTTTCATATGACGCCGTGTACCCACCCACATGCACCTACATGGCTTTGTGACTGACAGCGTGGATATCGTAGCTGTTCCTCGCGTCATCTCCCTGGTGATCGTTCGCTACTAGAGTAGGACGCCTCCTCCCATTGCGTTATTTGATTGATTCGACAGAGAATGGAGCCCGCGGCATGTTTTTGGTCAGCAGTCGACTGGGCGAGAAGGTTGGGGAATCAGCCTCCCCGGACGATGTTTTTTTTTTTTTCACAGAGTAACGGGACTGCGCCGGTCATGTCCGGGTGTAGGCTCAACGGGGGGAAGCGTTTCGCTGAATAAAACATGTCGCCGGCGTCATTCGATTGGGTCGGGCCGGGAACGCCGTCGAGATTCGCTACAGCAGTAGTAGAGAGGATGGCGAGATGAGATGAGAGACTGACCACTGACATACATTGGTTTTTCCACGGTCGGCGCGAGGAACTCTCGTTCGTCATCGATGAAGTCTGTTTGAGTTACCAGGGAAGTGTGTCGTGAGTGTGTGTGAACGGAGCGGGAAGCAAGAGTTTTACAACAAGTAGAAGCATCGGAGTCGTCTCGTCTCCTTCTTTTCTGCTTTCCGCATGTAAAGTGAGTGTATTTTCCTTAGAATCGACTGCGCCTCAACACGCTGACCGATGACTTGAATTCATATTTGCATGTAGTGCTCTTGTTTGTTCCCAGCGTGATCAACTCGTCTTGCATTTTATTTTGGTTTTTGTCTGTCTCCTTTGTTGCGATTCCATTGCCTCCAAGGTATTCATGCCTTCCTGCCGGCATACGCGTTTCGATTGAGGCGGCTTTCGGTAGGTTGGTGGGTGCGACGGGCTCGGCACAGCGTTTGCCGGGGGCAGCACGTAATTTGCTGTTGCGAGTATCGTCGTTGCACCCCAAAATTTGCACACGAATTCAGCGGAAGAATGACACACAAGTTAGTTCACTGCTGGTGATTGAACGCAGGTAACACACATGGGACCTCAAACACGCGCTTCTCTCTGTGCCGTGCTTGGGCTATGCGCACAACACCGGTCGCCCCGGTGGTCTAGTGGGTAACCTCGCAGCCGGCTAAGGGCCAGGTCATGGGTTCGAGTCCCGGCAGAGTGAGTTTTTTTCTCACTACATGAATCCTGGTCTAGGATGAAAGCGACGCGTTGCAAAGCTCGTTGTTAGTAAACCATAATCGACTTCGTAAGTCGCGAGGGAAGGGATTGCTGTACCCTTCTCGAGATAAAAATACCTCAGGCAGGAACCGCAGGAGGGGGTCCAGCCTCCCCCTCCTATGTGACCCCGGTTGGGTCGTCTAGCTAGTAGAAGTGGAGGATAAGGGCCAGTGGGGCAGACGACAGAATCCGATGATGGGAGAAAATATATATATATATATTTAGAAGAAGTATATATGTATGCGGCATTTTTGTCCGTGAGAGGGGCCCCACGGTAGGGTACAGACTCTTCGGGGGGGCTCGCCCCACGTTGTGCTACTGCTGTGTGGATTTCGGTATACTCCGTTTGACGGCGCCACTCTGTTTGGCCAATCAAACAAAGGCATCCGTGTGTCGGTTTTGATAAACGTGTGACAGCGCCACAGGTTGGCCAATCAAGCACAAAACATCAGATCAGGTGACGATTGTTAAACATTTTACAGCGCCAGCTACTGGTTGGCCTAATCAACATCGGCATCAGTCGCGTCTCGGGACTGAAAACGCCAGCACCCGTTGCTGTGTTTCATTATGTTGTCCACGCTAACTGGGCGGCTGGCCAATGCAAACACAGGCAGGTCTCGTTTTCTCTTTTTGGACGGGCAAAAAAGAACGAACCACAATAAAAAGTCCCTTCTCCTGCCGCCGCCAAAATCTCGCACGGGACCAACACAATCTGTCCGCTGAATCGCGATTGCCAACCTAGGCAACTTGCTCGGACGAACGGCACGCGCAGTCAGCGACAGCAGAACAAGGCACACATATTGCCCACACCAACCGAAACTCCACTCGTTCAGAGAAGAAGAGTGTTACGATCGATCCTCCTCGAAGTCACTAGACAAGAGAGTGCGCAAGGACAACAGCTACAGACCGCGGGGAATTTGAATTTTTCGAGTTTTCCCGAAAAGGCGACCTCACAACCGTGGCTGACGTCATCGGTCGACCATGGAATTTTCGTCCACAGGAAATTTCCACTAAAAAAAATTGGCCAATCAGAAAACTGCGGGGACCTTTTCTCTCTCTCTCTCTCTCTCTCTCCACACACGACTTTTTTTTGTGCCGCGGCTTCACTATTATCGCAGAAAAGACGAACGGATGGACAGGTTTCGTTCGTGCCAGGCTTCTCGCGCGCCGCGCTTGCTAACAGGAGGAGGGGGGGGTCCGCAGAATAGCTTTCGTCGGGATGGGTTGCCCCCCCCCCCCTCCCGACACGTTGGTCAAGAGAAGACAAAAAACGCCCTCGTCGCTCTCTGAGCACACAAAAGTTAGCTTTCCAAAATTGTGTTGAACTGATGTCCACCTGTGCTTGTCTCTCCATCTCCCTGATGGATGGACGTTTAGAGTAATTATCTACCGGGCCTTCGGGTTGCAACGCATCCCAGAACCCAGGATGGCCTTGACTTGATGTTCTCGTCGGGGGCGCGTCTCTCCTCCGCCTCTACGACCCGTCCCTCTTACTACCATCCAAGAGTCTGCGGGAGTTCTTGATGGCCTCGTGGGTATCGCGTCTATCCCCCCCTTACGACCTGCTCCTTCCTAAAGCCTGGATATTCTTCATCGTATCGTGGGGACGCCCCTCTTTCTAACATCCCTGAGCCTGGATGTTCTTGATTGATGTGCGTTCGCTGGGAGTGCCCCTACATCCTTACGAGATGCATGCCCCTTCTTCGTTCTATCCCTGAGCCTGGATATTCTTGATGATCTCGTTGAGATTGCTCTGCTCCGACGCCAATCGCTTCTCGAGGTACGACTGCTTCGACTGCGTACATAGACGAGAGAGAGAGCCAGGAAACACAGGGGGCACGCGGACGGAGAGGATAGAAGGGGGGGTGGGGGTGGGGTCACCACTGACCGTATGACAAGAAGAAACACAAACCATGCCGGAATATGTTACCGTGGGAGGCGGAGAGATGGCACAACCGCTAGACCGACTTTCAAACCTCGATTTCTCCGCAAACCAAGACTGTGCCAACACCAAAAATGGTGCTTTTGGAAACATGCTCATCGTGGGCTTTCCGTAGAATCATCGGGCTCTTTCCGCACCCCCTTGGGTGCGGAGCAATCGAGCTTTGAAAGTCGGTCTAGGCGGGGTGCCATCTCCGCCTCTTACGGAATACCACGGTACGGTGCACGGTACGGTACAATCTTGGTCGTGGAGTAATCGAGGTTTGAAAGTCAGCCTAGGCGGTGTGCCATCTCTCCGGCTCTTGTAGACAAAGCGAGAGAGCATCGGGGCTATGCATACGATGACAGAAAAATTGAGATGAAACATTGGGTGCTGGTGGGAATTCTACTGAAAAACATTTAGGAACAGGTAAGGCAAGAGTGTTGCAACAGCCCAGCCTCGCCGCTGCCAGCCGCGGCGGCCGCCCCACCTCAAACTTTCTTGTGCCTAGTCCTGTACTAGATACTCGACCCCAACCTTTCACGGGGCTACATTGTAGCGATGGGGCAACGAGCAAACGCGAGACGCAGCAACGATGACGAGGACGACAACACCGCCAACAACAACAAACAACAACATACAACGGCCATGGGGTGCAGGACAAAACACTCAACCAAACCAGCAAAGGAGAGTATTTGTTGGCCACCTGCAGCTGTGTCTCCGACTTGCTCATGTCCTCTTGCCGTGCTTCCAACAGCGCCGCGATCTCCTCCTTTGTTTTCGACAAGAACATTTTCCCTGGCAGACAGCAGCGGCAGGACAAGATTTTGAAGCGGTGCACGAGGATGACGAGTTCATTGACCCCGTTGGATACACCGGGGTGTCCGATTCCCGAGAGCACGGTAGACATCATACCTCCTCCATGCCAGGAACGCTATCCTACACAACGCGGTTTGGGAAAGAACGCGTTGACACAGTGAACTGAGTGCGAAAACCACGTGGACGAAGCGGTATCCAATCGTGCAATGCGGGCAAAGGGTGCATTCTTTCTTACCCCGCGCTGGTTCATCCTTGTGAACAGTAGCCTGGGTCGGCGAAAACCCGGCAAATCGCTTCGTCCCGGCGATACGACTACGGCATGCACGGCTATGAGTACACCCCCCCCCCTCCCCCAACAAAGAGCAACAACAACGCACCTGCCCGCTTGTTCAGACGAGACAAAAACACAAAGGAGTAGCTAACTCCTTGCCAACGTTCGGACTCGCGATCGTACAGTAGCCGCCTACCGGCTAACTCACCCACGCTCTGGTACATCGGCGTTCCGTCTTCCACCCTGTCCAGCTCCCCCCTCGTGAGCATCCCTCGCTTCTTCTCCCGGAGGGTTGCCTGCAGCTGCGCCTCAACCTCCGCAAGCTCCCTCTTCGTTAGCCCCAGCTGCACCGAGAGCTCTTGGAACTTTCTCGGTCATGGGTTCGGGTTGTCACACACGGGGGGGTACAAACAAGGAGTTGTAGAGTGAAGCTGCTGCACGACAGACCGGACAAAATGCCGGGAGCGTCGACGATGAGACGCCCCATCAGAAACTCGTGCTACTTCTTGCGACAATAGTGGCGGTAGTTGCAACAAGCGTTCTTGCTGTAGATGTATTACCACAAGTCGCCCGTGAACGGGGAACGGGGGGGGAGGGGAAGGGATACTACAAAAGGACGTGAGTCGCTTTTTTCGCCCTTGCAAGCAGGTCCAGACCCAGCCCACAGCTCACCACCAGCTGCCAGCGGCGACGTTTCCCAAGCTCAACAAACAGCTCACATAGCTGGACGAGTTCTTCACTTGAATAGCCCGGCAAACCTTAACAAACAAACAAAAAGAAAAAACGTTGTACGCAGCAGTCTTATAACATATACAGCACCTCTTGGATAACTTGCGGGTCGATCCGACCGCCCCCGGGCCCGCCGCCACCGCCGCCGCCCCTTTGCGCCTTGGAAGAAGCCGCCGATACTTTTGTCATGAGGGAGCGCTTCTGTCGGAGCAAGTCACCGTTCTCTGCGTNGGGGGGGGGGGGGGGGGGGGGGGGGGGGGGGGGGGGGGGGGGGGGGGGGGGGGGGGGGGGGGGGGGGGGGGGGGGGGGGGGGGGGGGGGGGGGGGGGGGGGGGGGGCGGGGGTTATACTCATAGTCGTGCATGCCGTAGTCGTTAGACGATTGACCTCGCATCCCTACAAAGCTGGGACGGAGCACGCCCGGTTCGCACCGGACCAGGCTTTCACATCACCAAGCACCGTGAGGTATTCGGCGAATCGCATGAAATGGGGGAGGGGGAGGGTGTACTCATAGTCGTGCATGCCGTGGTCGTTAGACCATTGACCTCGCATCCCTACAAAGCCGGGACGGAGCACGCCGGGTTCTCACCGGCCCAGGCTCTTACATCACCAAGCGCGAAGCGCCGTGAGATATTCGGCGAGTCGCATGAAGCGTGCGCTGCATCCTGCTACGGGTGTTCGGCATCTTGTGCTAACGTCCTTGCGTACGGATGACAGCTGCTTATGACTGAATATATTTTCTGGTGCTTTCACTTCCAGAGACAGTTGTAAGCACTCTGTAACTGCCTCGAGGATGCTTGACCATTTTAACACAACGAGGTGCGATCATCCCCCTTGCGCGGAGTGAAGTTTCTCCACCCCGCACAAAATGATCTACTCAACCACCATTATGTGTTGTGTGTGTTGTGTGTTTCGTCCTATTTATTATGGCGACAGTCCCCCCATTTTTCGCGGTGAGACGTGTACTACACTTTTCAGCGTATGTAGAGTACTACACTTTTCAGTGTTTTTTTCGTACAACTACAACCATCCAGGGTCACACAGGAGGGGGGATTCACCAGGGCTTTTTCCTTCTTTTTATTTCTATTGATGCCCCATCTTCCTCCTGCGGTGCGTGCTGAATTTTATTTTCATCGCGAGAAGGGTCCAGCCGTCAACGGTGCTAACGTCGAAGTTTGGTACTCACGAGAGCTTGTCAGCTATATTTCGATTTCACCCGCACATTCCATAATTTTTCACCCCATGGGGATTCAAACCAACGACCTCTGCGACTAGCCGATTACGAGGATACCACTAGACCACCGGGGCGACCGGTGTGGTTACCGCAAAAAAAAACACCAAAGGTAAAAAAATACAGCGGTAGCCTGGTTGCCGAGTTCACGAAGTGAATTGGCTTGTTT